GAGAGAGAGAGAGAGAGAGAGAGAGAGAGAGAGAGAGAGAGAGAGAGAGAGAGAGAGAAGTACAGCATTCTGTAAGATACTGGTTCATGTGGTTTGTGGTCATAGAATAATAATTCGTGGATCACTGTTGTGATCTACAAGAGTGCACGAAGAGGGGATGGGAGAGATACCTTAGGAGGGACAGAAGTTAGTGAAGAGAGGAAGAGAAGGAGAGAGGAGAGGGGAGGAGAAAAGGAGGAGGAAAAGGACATCGAGGAGTTCCCGTTCTGTTCTGCGTACGAGGATGCCAGTTGAATCGCCCTCTCTGCTCTTCGGCACGAAGAGACTCTTTCACATACGAACCACCGGTTGGTGGAGGCGACGATTAATGCTGTAGAACAGAATGATATCCGTTCCATGCTGTGTGTCATTTACACAAGTCCTAGTGTGAGTATGCCTTGGTTTGCAACTGCAAAGGTTATGGGACTACCCTCCAGGAAGGTAAGAAAATGGTGTAGGTCTAATCAGCAAAAACCTCCTGTCACATCTGCAGATAAGCTCTCTGCTGCCGTCTTCCCCTGAACACGAAGCACCCAGATTATGAATGTACACAAGCTACTTTTCCAGTCCCATGCAGACAATTTTTGGTTGCATGGTCTTTGGCGGAAGACCGTATTCCTTGCGGTATGTTTGTAACATGATGGCTGATGTAGGAAGGAAGATGTAGCAGCGGAGGCGACATGATGGCCACCGCAAAAAAAAACTTTGAAATGTTGTGGAAGCGAGGTGTGCATGCAAAAATGCCATGCATGCATGCATGCATGCAAGGAAATCAGAGGCAACCTTTCAGGACTAGCCCACGTGGTGGCAATAGAATCGTGGCGGGAAGGAACAGGAGGTTGAAATGGCGGCTAGCATGCGCTCCATGAAGGAAGGTGAACCTCAAGCTTCTCTGCCGAAGCGTGCGTAAGGCTGGCCTGCACATTTTATGCTTCCCTTGAGCCTATTTATGCATGTAAAAGGGCCGTGATTCTTGTTCTGTGCTTGTTTGCGTATGCATGCGCTGCTAACTTCAGTGTGCTCATTTTTAGAGGGGCAGTGCTTGCTTGCAGCTGATGAGAGTTTTCGCGTTGTGTACGCATGAGTTGCGAGTTGCAGTTTGATAGAGAGTTCGTAGAGGGCCAATGCTCTCCTCTCTCCATTAGTTCCAACTTCCGACATGGAATTGGCGATGGAGTCTGGGCTCTGTCTGCATTGTGCAGGTTGGCGAGAAAGGTGAGATGCGTCTCTCTCTCTCTCTCTCTCTCTCTCTCTCTCTCTCTCTCTCTCTCTCTCTCTCTCTCTCTCTCTCTCTCTCTCTCTCTCTCTCTCTC